CATGACTTGGGAGGACAGACTGTCATGACTTGGGAGGACAGACTGTCATGACTTGGGAGGACAGACTGTCATGACTTGGAAGGACAGACTGTCATGACTTGGGAGGACAGACTGTCATGACTTGGGAGGACAGACTGTCATGACTTGGAAGGACAGACTGTCATGACGTGGGAGGACAGACTGTCATGACTTGGGAGGACAGACTGTCATGACGTGGGAGGACAGACTGTCATGACGTGGGAGGACAGACTGTCATGACTTGAGAAGACAGACTGTCATGACTTGGGAGGACTGATTGTGTCATTACTTAGGAGGACTGATGGTGTTATGACCTGGGAGGACAGATTGTGTCATGACTTGGGAGGACAGACTGTCATGACTTGGGAGGACAGACTGTCATGACTTGGAAGGACAGACTGTCATGACGTGGGAGGACAGACTGTCATGACTTGGGAGGACAGACTGTCATGACTTGGGAGGACAGACTGTCATGACTTGAGAGGACAGACTGTCATGACTTGGGAGGACAGATTGTGTTATGACTTGGGAGGACAGACTGTCATGACTTGGGAGGACAGACTGTCATGATGTGGGAGGACAGACTGTCATGACCTGGGAGGACAGACTGTCATGAAATGGGAGGACAGACTGTCATGACGTGGGAGGACAGACTGTCATGACTTGGAAGGACAGACTGTCATGACTTGGGAGGACAGACTGTCATGACTTGGGAGGACAGATTGTCATGACTTGGGAGGACAGACTGTCATGATGTGGAAGGACAGACTGTCATGACTTGGGAGGACAGACTGTCATGACATGGGAGGACAGACTGTCATGACTTGGGAGAACAGACTGTCATGACGTGGAAGGACAGACTGTCATGACTTGGGAGGACAGACTGTCATGACTTGGGAGGACAGACTGTCATGACTTGGGAGAACAGACTGTCATGATGTGGGAGGACAGATTGTGTTATGACCTGGGAGGACAGACTGTCATGACTTGGGAGGACAGATTGTGTTATGACCTGGGAGGACAGACTGTCATGACGTGGGAGGACAGACTGTCATGACGTAGGAGGACAGACTGTCATGACTTGGGAGGACAGACTGTCATGACTTGGGAGGACAGACTGTCATGACTTGGGAGGACAGACTGTCATGACTTGGGAGGACAGACTGTCATGACTTGGGAGGACAGACTGTCATGACTTGGGAGGACAGACTGTCATGACTTGGGAGGACAGACTGTCATGACTTGAGAGGACAGACTGTCATGACTTGGGAGGACAGATTGTGTTATGACTTGGGAGGACAGACTGTCATGACTTGGGAGGACAGACTGTCATGATGTGGGAGGACAGACTGTCATGACCTGGGAGGACAGACTGTCATGACATGGGAGGACAGACTGTCATGACGTGGGAGGACAGACTGTCATGACTTGGAAGGACAGACTGTCATGACTTGGGAGGACAGACTGTCATGACTTGGGAGGACAGATTGTCATGACTTGGGAGGACAGACTGTCATGACGTGGAAGGACAGACTGTCATGACTTGGGAGGACAGACTGTCATGACTAGGGAGGACAGACTGTCATGATGTGGGAGGACAGATTGTGTTATGACCTGGGAGGACAGACTGTCATGACTTGGGAGGACAGACTGTCATGACTTGGGAGGACAGACTGTCATGACTTGGGAGGACAGACTGTCATGACTTGGGAGGACAGACTGTCATGACTTGGGAGGACAGATTGTGTTATGACCTGGGAGGACAGACTGTCATGACGTGGGAGGACAGACTGTCATGACTTAGGAGGACAGACTGTCATGACTTGGGAGGACAGACTGTCATGACATGGGAGGACAGACTGTCATGACTTGGGAGGACAGACTGTCATGACTTGGGAGGACAGACTGTCATGACCTGGGAGGACAGATTGTGTTATGACTTGGGAGGACAGACTGTCATGACTTGGGAGGACAGACTGTCATGACTTGGGAGGACAGACTGTCATGACTTGGAAGGACAGACTGTCATGACTTGGGAGGACAGACTGTCATGACTTGGGAGGACAGACTGTCATGACGTGGGAGGACAGACTGTCATGACTTGGAAGGACAGACTGTCATGACTTGGGAGGACAGACTGTCATGACTTGGGAGGACAGACTGTCATGACTTGGGAGAACAGACTGTCATGACGTGGGAGGACAGACTGTCATGACTTGGAAGGACAGACTGTCATGACTTGGGAGGACAGACTGTCATGACTTGGGAGGACAGATTGTGTTATGACCTGGGAGGACAGACTGTCATGACGTGGGAGGACAGACTGTCATGACTTAGGAGGACAGACTGTCATGACTTGGGAGGACAGACTGTCATGACGTGGGAGGACAGACTGTCATGACTTGGAAGGACAGACTGTCATGACTTGGGAGGACAGACTGTCATGACTTGGGAGGACAGACTGTCATGACTTGGGAGGACAGACTGTCATGACTTGAGAGGACAGACTGTCATGACTTGGGAGAACAGACTGTCATGACTTGGGAGGACAGACTGTCATGACTTAGGAGGACAGACTGTCATGACTTGGGAGGACAGACTGTCATGACCTGGAAGGACAGACTGTCATGACTTGGGAGGACAGACTGTCATGACTTGGGAGGACAGACTGTCATGACTTGGGAGGACAGACTGTCATGACTTGAGAGGACAGACTGTCATGACTTGGGAGGACAGATTGTGTTATGACTTGGGAGGACAGACTGTCATGACTTGGGAGGACAGACTGTCATGACTTGAGAGGACAGACTGTCATGACCTGGGAGGACAGACTGTCATGACTTGGGAGGACAGACTGTCATGACTTGGGAGAACAGACTGTCATGACTTGGGAGGACAGACTGTCATGACTTGGAAGGACAGACTGTCATGACTTGGGAGGACAGACTGTCATGACTTGGGAGGACAGATTGTGTTATGACCTGGGAGGACAGACTGTCATGACTTGGGAGGACAGACTGTCATGATGTGGGAGGACAGACTGTCATGACTTGGAAGGACAGACTGTCATGACTTGGAAGGACAGACTGTCATGACTTGGGAGGACAGATTGTGTTATGACCTGGGAGGACAGACTGTCATGACGTTGAAGGACAGACTGTCATGACTTGGGAGGACAGACTGTCATGACTTGGGAGGACAGACTGTCATGACTTGGGAGGACAGACTGTCATGACTTGGAAGGACAGACTGTCATGACATTGAAGGACAGACTGTCATGACTTGGGAGGACAGACTGTCATGACTTGGGAGGACAGACTGTCATGACTTGGAAGGACAGACTGTCATGACGTGGGAGGACAGACTGTCATGACGTGGGAGGACAGACTGTCATGACGTGGGAGGACAGACTGTCATGACTTGAGAAGACAGACTGTCATGACTTGGGAGGACTGATTGTGTCATTACTTAGGAGGACTGATGGTGTTATGACCTGGGAGGACAGATTGTGTCATGACTTGGGAGGACAGACTGTCATGACTTGGGAGGACAGACTGTCATGACTTGAGAGGACAGACTGTCATGACTTGGGAGGACAGATTGTGTTATGACTTGGGAGGACAGACTGTCATGACTTGGGAGGACAGACTGTCATGACTTGAGAGGACAGACTGTCATGACCTGGGAGGACAGACTGTCATGACTTGGGAGGACAGACTGTCATGACTTGGGAGAACAGACTGTCATGACTTGGGAGGACAGACTGTCATGACTTGGAAGGACAGACTGTCATGACTTGGGAGGACAGACTGTCATGACTTGGGAGGACAGATTGTGTTATGACCTGGGAGGACAGACTGTCATGACTTGGGAGGACAGACTGTCATGATGTGGGAGGACAGACTGTCATGACTTGGAAGGACAGACTGTCATGACTTGGAAGGACAGACTGTCATGACTTGGGAGGACAGATTGTGTTATGACCTGGGAGGACAGACTGTCATGACGTTGAAGGACAGACTGTCATGACTTGGGAGGACAGACTGTCATGACTTGGGAGGACAGACTGTCATGACTTGGGAGGACAGACTGTCATGACTTGGAAGGACAGACTGTCATGACATTGAAGGACAGACTGTCATGACTTGGGAGGACAGACTGTCATGACTTGGGAGGACAGACTGTCATGACTTGGAAGGACAGACTGTCATGACGTGGGAGGACAGACTGTCATGACGTGGGAGGACAGACTGTCATGACGTGGGAGGACAGACTGTCATGACTTGAGAAGACAGACTGTCATGACTTGGGAGGACTGATTGTGTCATTACTTAGGAGGACTGATGGTGTTATGACCTGGGAGGACAGATTGTGTCATGACTTGGGAGGACAGACTGTCATGACTTGGGAGGACAGACTGTCATGACTTGGAAGGACAGACTGTCATGACGTGGGAGGACAGACTGTCATGACTTGGGAGGACAGACTGTCATGACTTGGGAGGACAGACTGTCATGACTTGGAAGGACAGACTGTCATGACGTGGGAGGACAGACTGTCATGACTTGGGAGGACAGACTGTCATGATGTGGGAGGACAGACTGTCATGACTTGAGAAGACAGACTGTCATGACTTGGGAGGACTGATTGTGTCATTACTTAGGAGGACTGATGGTGTTATGACCTGGGAGGACTGATTGTGTCATGACTTGGGAGGACTGGTTGTGTCATGACTTGGGAGGACTGATTGTGTCATGACTTGGGAGGACTGATTGTGTCATGACTTGGGAGGACTGATTGTGTCATGACTTGGGAGGACTGATTGTGTCATGACTTGGGAGGACTGATTGTGTCATGACTTGGGAAGTGTGACTGGAGGCTGTAACAGGGGAGGACTGACTCGGGGTACAGGTGGTAACGGTGTCTGATGTGTGGAACATGTAGACCTCCTCCTTCCTCACACTGATCACTACTTGTTGCAGCTGCAGGTGAGAGTCACCCTGTCTGTGACCGGACTCTCAAATACTTCCAAGGGATTGTGGGCAAGTGCTGGGTGGTGTCCTTCGACTGGGTGCGAGACTCACTCCTCGCCAACAAGCCACTTCCAGAGGTACGGCGCAAAGTAGATAGAGGGGGCCCAGACCTGTGTCCCTGAGGTATGCCAAATATGGCTGTGGGTTTGAATCACAGATTTGCCCTGAATAGGATTCTTGGTTTCTCAGCACCATACCCTGCTGTGTTAAAATCCTTGTTTATGTTTTAAGTTGAGTCTTCAACTGATGAAAAAAGTTCCATTTTAATGACGCTAACACAAGTCTGCTTGGTTGAAGGACAAATACGAGATTGTTGGAGACACAGTGATAGTGGAGGACCACCATGGCCCACGGAGGTCACGGACGTCGGACAAGAAGCTGTTTTCTGGGTTTACACTCACATGTATCGGAGTCAGCGATGAAATGACGAAAGGTACGTTTCAACATTGTGTACAAGAAGCTGTTTTCTGGGTTTACACTCACATGTATCGGAGTCAGCGATGAAATGACGAAAGGTACGTTTCAACATTGTGTACAAGAAGCTGTTTTCTGGGTTTACACTCACATGTATCGGAGTCAGCGATGAAATGACGAAAGGTACGTTTCAACATTGTGTACAAGAAGCTGTTTTCTGGGTTTACACTCACGTGTATCGGAGTCAGTGATGAAATGACGAAAGGTACCAGACAGGTCTCCAGAAACCAGGTATCAGACAGGTCTCCAAAAAACTCTGCAAATTGTTGGATGTAGCGTACCCCTTTGGAGATAGCAGACAGTACAGGCCCAAGAGCCACATGCTCAATGTAGGTGATGTCATGTTAACTAGATCCCCAGAAGTAGTGATGTTCCAATTATTTAAAATATTCGAAGATGTTTAGCAGGCCCAAAGGATCAAACAAGAGAACTCAGATTTCCATAACTGAACACAATCAATTTTGCCCTTTCTCAAATTTTCAACTATCCTCATCTTTTAAAAAATAGATGAACAAGACCCCGAGACATTTTTGTTTCCTGAAAAGATTTATTTACTTATATAACTTATTACTTGTTTCCTCAAACAGTGAGGAGAGTGAAATATGTAATTATTTGTGTATGTTTTTGTAAATCTATTTTTATTGAACTTAACATTGAAAAACAGCAAAATGATACTAAAAAGTAACTACCGTATTCGACGTAATAAGCACCGAGGGCGCCCTCAAAATTAGAAATAGGGGGCTCTTATTGAGTTGAAAGATCGTAAATTTTGTGGTTTATGCTGACAGCCTGATATGATACAAAAGAAAAGTTTGTGCGTATTATACACAACAGATATATTTTTCCAGAATTAAATTTAAATTTAATATAACACACGAGTGCGTATTATACACGAATAAATAAGTCTTGTGTACATTGATCAATCGGAAGGGGTTCTAATTGGGATTGTTCACTAACCAATACATTAGCCAATATCGCCGTACACGCTTATTAGAGTGGGGCGCTGATTACATCGAATACAGTAATTAATTTCAGTTTGGATGATCCAGGCATCAGTAGTGGTGAAATGATACATGTAGCAAGGTCATGATACGATACGTATCTCGATACATAGGTAATGATACAATACATATCCCGATACACATATTAACGTCAAATTGCATGGAAACTTCTTGACTATAACTATTTCAGAACATGTTCTAAAGGAAAAGCTAGCTGTAGACACATGTTCATAGCTGCTTTTAGTAGTGAACTTGGAATGCTAATTACAACACATTTTGTAATATTTGACTGACAATATTGCTGGGGGTCATTAAACGAGTAGTAAGTAATATTTTTTAGCAAGTGTATTGTCTGGTATCATGAGAAGAAAACATATCGTGTATTGTATCATTGCATGAAAACTTACGATGCACAGGTTCACGGATGTATCATTTCATCATGATCTTGCAGAGGGCACCGGTGGCCCAGTCGTCTAAGGCGCCGCCATTCACTGTGCAGAGTTGCGTTCCTTTGGGCACGCCAGAAACCTATGATTGTGGTTTCGAATCCCGGTTCGCCCCGATTATGTTTCTAGGTTTGTCAGCACCATACCCGTGCTCGTTGGTTTCACAGAAGTGGTTAACGTCTGAGGCCTGCATCACTTGCATCACTGCATGCGGCGTTAAACCTAACTCACTCACTCACTCATGATCTTGCTACCAATTCCCAGCACTACACTGAAGCCCAATTCCCAGCACTACACTGAAGCCCAATTCCCAGCACTACACTGAAGCCCAATTCCCAGCACTACACTGAAGCCCAATTCCCAGCACTACACTGAAGTCCAATTCCCAGCACAACACTGAAGCCCAATTCCCAGCACTACACTGAAGCCCAATTCCCAGCACAACACTGAAGCCCAATTCCCAGCACTACACTGAAGCCCAATTCCCAGCACAACACTGAAGCCCAATTCCCAGCACTACACTGAAGCCCAATTCCCAGCACAACACTGAAGCCCAATTCCCAGCACTACACTGAAGCCCAATTCCCAGCACAACACTGAAGCCCAATTCCCAGGACAACACTGAAGCCCAATTCCCAGCACTACACTGAAGCCCAATTCCCAGCACTACACTGAAGCCCAATTCCCAGCACTACACTGAAGCCCAATTCCCAGCACAACACTGAAGCCCAATTCCCAGCACTACACTGAAGCCCAATTCCAAGCACAACACTGAAGCCCAATTCCCAGCACTACACTGAAGCCCAATTCCCAGCACAACACTGAAGCCCAATTCCCAGGACAACACTGAAGCCCAATTCCCAGCACTACACTGAAGCCCAATTCCCAGCACTACACTGAAGCCCAATTCCCAGCACTACACTGAAGCCCAATTCCCAGCACAACACTGAAGCCCAATTCCCAGCACAACACTGAAGCCCAATTCCCAGCACTACACTGAAGCCCAATTCCCAGCAAAACACTGAAGCCCAATTCCCAGCACTACACTGAAGCCCAATTCCCAGCACAACACTGAAGCCCAATTCCCAGCACAACACTGAAGCCCAATTCCCAGCACTACACTGAAGCCCAATTCCCAGCACTACACTGAAGCCCAATTCCCAGCACAACACTGAAGCCCAATTCCCAGCACTACACTGAAGCCCAATTCCCAGCACTACACTGAAGCCCAATTCCCAGCACTACACTGAAGCCCAATTCCCAGCACAACACTGAAGCCCAATTCCCAGCACTACACTGAAGCCCAATTCCCAGCACAACACTGAAGCCCAATTCCCAGCACTACACTGAAGCCCAATTCCCAGCACTACACTGAAGTCCAATTCCCAGCACAACACTGAAGCCCAATTCCCAGCACTACACTGAAGCCCAATTCCCAGCAAAACACTGAAGCCCAATTCCCAGCACTACACTGAAGCCCAATTCCCAGCACAACACTGAAGCCCAATTCCCAGCACAACACTGAAGCCCAATTCCCAGCACTACACTGAAGCCCAATTCCCAGCACTACACTGAAGCCCAATTCCCAGCACAACACTGAAGCCCAATTCCCAGCACTACACTGAAGCCCAATTCCCAGCACTACACTGAAGCCCAATTCCCAGCACTACACTGAAGTCCAATTCCCAGCACAACACTGAAGCCCAATTCCCAGCACTACACTGAAGTCCAATTCCCAGCACTACACTGAAGCCCAATTCCCAGCACTACACTGAAGCCCAATTCCCAGCACTACACTGAAGCCCATGCTTGACAAAGATGGGATTTATATGGTTAGGGTGTGATGATTGATCATACTATCTATGCATCGCCATTATTCATGTGATATTGCTGATTATAGGTTACAGAGCTAACTGACCCATTGCTTCTGTTTGCCATGATATGGCTGTAATATCGCAGTGTTTGTGACACTGGTCTTCCAACGCGTGTTCCCTGCTTCAGATGACATGAGCCTGCTACTGCAGCAGGGCGGGGCCACACTGGCTGACGACCCCTGGGAACTGGGCAAGATGGCTGCCGCCATTCCGCTGATCATCCGTTGTCTGGACACCGAGGACGAGGCACCCACCAAGTCGGAGGTGGAGCATTTCAACTGTAAGTCTGTGTTAACTCAGGAATTTTACAAGGGTGTAAAACCATACTCACTCACTCATTCTTCACGTTTCTGGGGTGGTCGGGTAGCCTAGTGCTTAAAGCGTTCGCTCGTCACGCCGAAGACCCAGGTTCGATTCCCGACATGGGTACAATGTGTGAAACCCATTTCTGGTGTCCCCCGCCCTGATATTGCTGGAATATTGTAAAAAAGTGTGTAAAACCATACTCACTGACTCACTCTTCACGTTTCCATTTAATCACGTTTAGCAACTTTATACACAATGTAAATTGGTTAAGAATATGCTTTCTTTGTTTCTTGTTTAATGCCACACTTAGCAATATTTCAGCTAGATGACAGCAGTCTGTAAAAAAGTGAGTCAGGGTCTGATTATCCAGTGATTAAAGTAATGAGTATCGATATACTACATTGGGATACGATGACATGCATCAACCAAGTCAGTCTGACTACCCCATCCCATTAGTCGCCTCTTACGACAAGCATGGGTTGTTGAAGACCAATTCAAACCCGGATGGTAGACTGTGTATTTGTGGACTACAAAATGGCTGGTGACTCTACATTCAACTCCGGAGTAACAATTTTTCTATTGCACTCCAATGTTTCAGTCCCCAAGAGTTAACATCTTCTGCCGCCATAAGATTCCTGATTAAAATAGATACCAAGAAAAACATGTATGAGGCTAGTATATGAATAGGGTGGACAGTGTGTCATCATACCCCCACGGCGTGGAACCGAGCTCATGTTATCAATCACTGGTTGTCTGGTACAGTGTCAGTTATTCCAGGTCACTGTCACATGTGGTCAGACAGTGTGTCATCATACCCCCACGGCGTGGAACCGAGCTCATGTTATCCATCACTGGTTGATTGGTACAGTGTCTGTTATTCCAGGTCACTGTCACATGTGGACTATTGCTGGTTTTCTGTGTTGCAGGCTTCTACAAACACAACCGCCTCATCACCGTGTCCAGGGAGTGGGTCCTCGACAGCATCAGCACCTGGCGGCTCCAGCCCCTGGACGACTACGTCCTCAACAACATCAAAAACATCGTCCTTCCTTTCTGATAGCTGTCTCCGAGACAACATCCACATAAATCTTCTTTCTGATAGCTAACTGTATCCAAGACAGCATCGTCAATCCTCAACAACATCAGCAACATCAACTACATTGTCAATCCTCAACAATCTTGTCATTAGTCAGATATGTTGATATGATGTGGGAATTGGTTGGCAATAACACTTGCCCAACTTTGAATTATCTACTCTCATGTGATACTGATGTACGGGGATATATGTTTGGCTATACTTGGATATATGTTTGGCTATTCGTGGATAAGGTGGTAGGGTAGCCTAGTGGTTAAAGCATTCACTCGTCACACTGAAAACCCAGGTTCGATTCCCGACATGGGTACAATGAAGCCCTTTTCTAGTGTCCCCCGCCATGATATCGCTGGAATATGGTTAAAAGCGGCGTAAAACCTTACTTACTCACTATAAGTTGATATATGTTTGGCTATACTTGGATATATGCTTCGCTATTCTAGGATATGTGCTTTGCTATACTCAGATATGTTTGATTATACTCCTCACTTGGTAAACTATCCAGGAAGACCAACTGATATGAAACATATTCCAATAGCCATTTCATAGGCTTTACCACATTTCAGAGCTTTGGGAACAAAACGTTCAGTTCAATGAAATGTTTACGATTCTGTGAATTGTATCTTTTAGTTTTCGATTTTCGTTCAGTGTGTGTGTGTGTGTGTGTGTGTGTGTGTGTGTGTGTGTGTGTGAATGCCACCTCATAACTCACTGGTAAAGGGAAGTAACTTGTGTGACAGCCACATCACCTTCAGAGCTGTGAACAGTTAAATACAATAATCAGGAATCAATGATTCAAAGGCAAAGCCTTTTTTTTTTTACTTGTGTGTGTGAGATATCTGTCTGTGTGAGGTATCTGTGAGTCTGTGTGAGGTATCTGTCTGTGTGTGTGAGGTGTCTGTCTGTGTGTGTGGGGTATCTGTCTGTGTGTGTGAGGTATCTGTCTGTGTGTGAGGTATCTGTAAGTCTGTGTGAGGTATCTGTCTGTGTGTGTGAGGTGTCTGTCTGTGTGTGGGGTATCTGCCTGTGTGTGTGAGGTATCTGTTAGTCTGTGTGTGACGTATCTGTTAGTCTGTGTGTGAGGTATCTGTGAGTCTGTGTGAGGTATCTGTCTGTGTGTGTGAGGTGTCTGTCTGTGTGTGTGGGGTATCTGTCTGTGTGTGTGAGGTATCTGTCTGTGTGTGAGGTATCTGTGAGTCTGTGTGAGGTATCTGTCTGTGTGTGTGAGGTGTCTGTCTGTGTGTGGGGTATCTGCCTGTGTGTGTGAGGTATCTGTTAGTCTGTGTGTGACGTATCTGTTAGTCTGTGTGTGAGGTATCTGTCTGTGTGTGTGTGAGGTATGTGAGTCTGTGTGAGGTATCTGTGAGTCTGTGTGTCCAATGCATGATGCAGTGACCGAGTGTAGATTGTTTTCAGTTCATCTTGTGCCATGTTTTATGCTTCGTATGTTGAGTTTTACTTATTTTTTCTTTAGCCAAATTCATAGAACTATTTACTTCAAATTAATATAAGTTGGTACTGCTGAATAATTCTTATTGCTCCTGTGTGACAGAACAGTTCTGGCAAGGCCACACTGGTGGTTCAAATGCACAGCGTCATAATCAGCACGGAGAAATAGATGCTCACATGAAAACACTTAAGACTACAACTTTTCTCGCTTGGGTTTACAAAATATTTTTTATCAATATTTATAGGCCAAACTAAATTAAAACAACATCGTCAGCCGACAAACACCTACTCTTGTGCAACTTTTGTGCAACTTGTGCAACTAGGGCAGGATGTGCTTACATGTGCCTCTTTGCGAACACCGTGTGTCACTACTTATTTTCATTGATCCATTCATATAATTTTCAACGCTATTTTGCCTTTTACGCCCAATGAAATCTGTTGGGGCATGTAGTAATTGTCCTTTGCTGTTGTTGTTTTATATTTACATTAAAATAATTGCTAAATATGTTTTATAAGTTTGTTAACATAGTTTTTAGAGTCAGTTTAGTTTATTTAATTAAATGCTATTTCTGTTTAAAGTGAAGGATGTATATTAATTCTAGTGTTATATGTACATACTGAGGTTTGCAGTGTCTCAAGACAATATATGTAATGCAGTTTATCAGTTATCACCTGAAAATTAACAATTAAGCGTTATTAGATTTTGTCTTTATATTTTTTGGAACCATCATGGATAGAGCAGTCATGAAAAGAGAAACAAATTTAAACAATTTCTATTTTGTTTCTGATTGTGATTTACAGCTCAATTTCCTGAACAGAAAAGATTGATCATAAAAACCTGGGGACTTGTTTCCTGATAACGTTTGACAAATATCAACATGAAATAATACACTTTTATATGTAAATGCTGATCAAGTATGATTGTGTGACAAATATTGATTAATATTACCAAAGAGGTCAAGTTCAGGTGATTGTGCTACAACTCTGAATATCAAGTGAGCTACAAAATCCAAATATTTTTCCGTTATAAATATAAGTGACAAAACCCTTTCCATATTCATAAGAAGTCTATGCCAAGAGCAGAGTGGATTGTACGATTCTGACTGCGGTATATATATGAGACAATGATTCCACTGGTATTTAATTGTACCATGTTGTACTTCATTGATGAATTCTAATTCTAATGTGCAAATAACTGACTGAAAATGAATCAGTTCAAATGTACATGCTCATGTATAATCATACTGAATATTACAAAAAAGTGAAATACATTTGATTGCTTGAACTTTGCGATTTTGTTTCTTTGTCCATCTGAGGATTGCTGGTGTCTGATCCAAAGTCTGATATGTACACTGACAGGGCTTGATGCAACATGTGTCCAAGAGGCACACACATGGATTCCTGATGGATGAGCCCCGTGAAGGTCCGGGGTAGAATAGGTCTTCAGCAAACCATGCTTGCCGTAAAAGGTGACTATGCTTGTCATAAGAGGCGACTAATAGGATCAGGTGGTCAGGCTTGCTGACATGGTTGATGCATGTCATCGTATCTCAATTGCGTGGATCGATGCTCATATCAATCACTGGATTAAGTAAGACGAGTTCTATGGATGAACAACTTCTTTATTACAATTAGTGCGACGTTTCGGTGTAGATCCTAACACCTTTATCAAGCAAGTGATGGATAGTGCTAAACAACATAGGTATATATACTTATTAACATCAATGTTTATACAGTAAATTGATTGATGAACACAGAGAGCTGATTAAGATAACTGGAAGCCAGTGGATGACTAATGAACACAGAGTCAACAAGCAGACTGATAGAGATGATGGAAGCCAGTGGATTAATTGGATGGACATAGGGATTTATCAATTAGGTGATGGTAAGCAGGCGGGATGTAATAGCCTTGATCTCTGTTCATTGCTGGCTGGATCCTTTTGATGTAGATGGCTTCTAGGAGTTTCCTAATTTTGTAGTCTGATTGATTGTTGGCCAGGATCTTGCAGTGCCAATGGCAGGCCCCCTACATCAAAGAAACAAGACCCGGCTGGTGCCGTATATCACATACAATGTGACTGTGGCGACTCCTATGTAGGAGAAACATCCAGGCCCCTACCCATTAGAATAAAAGAACACAAGACCTCAGTACAAAAAAATGATTCAAAATCAGCCATTTCCTGTCCACACCAAAACCCACCCCAACCACAACATCCAGTGATTAACATCAAGATCCTGGCCAACAATCAATCAAACTACAAAATTGTCTGGCCCAGACCCGATTATTTACAGACTTTAATAGGCTTTAGGCTTCGGAGCAGGCGCAATGAGATGACAACTGTACTATTCATGGAAATCAAGCATGCTTCATGTGGCCAGACTGGGACCCCGATGTTCACATTACTAAGAGTCCACTGGGTACAAACTCGGGTAAATCCCATCTTGGATGTCAGTTATCACATAGGAAGTTGCCAAATCCCATGCAGGTTCAAGCCATGACAAGGGCCACGGTAGCCTATGCCCAGAGACAACTGCGGCAGGTTTTCGCACAAAACGTAATTGTTGACTATGTCTTCTTTTGAAGCAGTGACTGAAAGGAAATATGTCACGCACAGCAAATAAATTGGGTGTGGTGATTAGGCTCAGTGACTTGATTGATGATGTGTTATTGTGCCCCTCAGCATGGGAACGGTGCTCATAATATCAACCACTGGTTTGTCTTCCAAGATTTGATTATTTACAGGCCATGGGGTATAGCAGAAATATTGCGGAGTGCAGTGCAAAACAATAAACAAACAAACATTACTGGTACAGACTTCATTGTCTACAACCGCAGAATGTTTTCCAACTCAGAATCAACCATGACACAGTAATCCCGTCAACATTCAACCAGGGGACAGTAATCACATCAACATTCTACCAGGGCACAGTAATCACAACATTCAACCAGGGGACAGTAATCCCATCAACATTCAACCAGGGCACAGTAATCCCATCAACATTCAACCAGGGCACAGTAATCCCATCAACATTCAACCAGGGCACAGTAATCCCATCAACATTCAACCAGGGTACAGTAATCATGAACATTCAACCAGGGCACAGTAATCCCATCAACATTCAACCAGGGCACAGTATTCACGTCAACATTCAACCAGGGGACAGTAATCACATCAGCATTCAACCAGGGTACAGTAATCATTAACATTCAACCAGGGTACAGTAATCATTAACATTCAAACAGGGCACAGTAATCCCATCAACATTCAACCAGGGCACAGTATTCACATCAACATTCAACCAGGGCACAGTAATCACATCAACATTCAACCAGGGCACAGTAACCACATCAACATTCAACCAGGGCACAGTAATCCCATCAACTTTCAACCAGGGGACAGTAATCACTTCAACATTCAACCAGGGCACAGTAATCACATCAACATTCAACCAGGCCACAGTAATCACATCAACATTCAACCAGGCCACAGTAATCACATCAACATTCAACCAGGGTACAGTAATCATGAACATTCTACCAGGGCACAGTAATCCCATCAACATTCAACCAGGGCACAGTAATCACATCAACATTCAACCAGGCCACAGTAATCACATCAACATTCAACCAGGGCACAGTAATTACATCAACATTCAACCAGGCCAAAGTAATCACAACATTCAACCAGGGCACAGTAATCACATCAACATTCAACCAGGGTACAGTAATCATCAACATTCAACCAGGGCACAGTAATCCCATCAACATTCAACCAGGGCACAGTAACCACATTAACATTCAACCAGGGTACAGTAATCATGAACATTCAACCAGGGCACAGTAATCACATCAACATTCAACCAGGGCACAGTATTCACGTCAACATTCAACCAGGGGACAGTAATCACATCAGCATTCAACCAGGGTACAGTAATCACGTCAACATTCAACCAGGGCACAGTAATCCCATCAACATTCAACCAGGGCACAGTATTCACGTCAACATTCAACCAGGGCACAGTAATCACATCAACATTCAACCAGGGCACAGTAACCACATCAACATTCAACCAGGGCACAGTAATCCCATCAACATTCAACCAGGGGACAGTAATCACTTCAACATTCAACCAGGGCACAGTAATCACATCAACATTCAACCAGGCCACAGTAATCACATCAACATTCAACCAGGGTACAGTAATCATCAACATTCTACCAGGGTACAGTAATCCCATCAACATTCAACCAGGGCACAGTAATCACATCAACATTCAACCAGGCCACAGTAATCACATCAACATTCAACCAGGGCACAGTAATCACATCAACATTCAACCAGGCCACAGTAATCACATCAACATTCAACCAGGCCAAAGTAATCACAACATTCAACCAGGGCACAGTAATCACATCAACGTTCAACCAGGGTACAGTAA